TTTTTTTTTTTTTAAAGAGGCAATTTAAGTACTTGTAGCACTCCTCAAAACTACACTTTAAAAAGCAGAAAAATAAAAGTGTCATAGTGATTATTTATCAAAATGCCCTTAAACTGTTTTTCCAGATTCTAGCTCTTCAGTGAAGCCTTCAAAAATTGAAGGGAAGAAATAACAGATCATCATGTATGACTCTGCCTGGTCTATCTATAAAACTTCCACAGCCATACGTTTTACTTTCCTGACCAGTATGAACTTCCCAGGACACAGCTTCCCAAGCAACAGTTGTGCACTGGCGAGGGGGCAGTCCCTCAGCCTGGCCTGTGCCCTCTCACAGTCTGGGACTGGAAAGGCTTTTACCAGCGCTGCTGAGCTTGCACCCGTGAGCCTGAGCCTCCCCCAGCTCCTGCATTGAGCATCTGCCCTCTGGTAGTCAGTGTGTGTCATAGTGACCTGTTGTTCCACCATTTGGTCAGTTTCCCTATTAGCCTTTTATTATTTAGAATTTTTACTTTTTAAAATATATTTTTTTATTTATAAAAGAAGGAAGAGGGGGAGAGAGATAAAAACATAAATGATAAGAGAGAATCGTTGATTGGCTGCTTCCTGAACATCCCACATGAACATTGAGCCCACAACCCAGGCATGTGTCCTGACCAGGAATTGAACCATGACCTCCTGGTTCATAGGTCTTTGCTCAACCACTGAGCCACACTGGCCAGGCCTGAAGAGATATTAAATACTCCACACATGGATAAAGTGACCAGACGTCCCACTTTTAGCGGGACAGCCCCGATTTTGAACAATTTGTCCTGTGAAGTCTTTAAAAAGTCCCGATTTTTGGAAAGAACCTTTAAAAAAATCGGGACTTTTTAAAAACGCCGAGGGACGTGGGACAAGTTGTTAAAAATTGGGACATCTGGTCACCTTACACATGGAGGATATGACTTAATATTCTTGAAACCAGATCTTCTGTTTCTCTGTAGTTACTATGGCAATGGGTGCTATAGAGATATGTAAACCCAATTGTGACCTCCCTTGGTGTAGGGATGCCCCCCAAGCTTCTGGCTTCATTATCCACCAAGGTCTAGCAGGTCTGGTTGCTTCCATTCAGTCACCAAGTGGTGGTGGGTGCCATCCTCCTGTCCCCTTTGGGACCAACCATCTCCAGCCCTGCTAGTTCTCTAAAGCAAGGCTCCTCAGGGAATAATCTCTGCTTGTCGTATAATCTGAGTGAGCTAAGGTGAGTGCTGTAGGGACAAGCAGCAGCAGCTTTTGAATTTTCAAATCGGAGGCTAAGCATTTACTTTTCAGAAATAGAATCGAGCTCACTTCTCATACTAAAAAAGCAATTGACACTCAGTGGTTTAGAAAATCTGTCCACTGCACATGTAAACGCAGTGTAGTGTATGTAGCCTTGCTTTCTATGTTGCTAGTAGCCTGGTGACATCATATTCATCTTCATGAATGTTAGCTGGGGACACGGGAGGCATCATCTTGCATTCAGAAAGACTAGGGTTTGGTCCCAACTTAACTGTTAACTCTCTGAATGACCTTGGCCATATTACATAATTCTCTTGATCTTAGTTTCTTCATAATCAATCAATCCTTGATCAAAAGTGACAGCCTGGTGTGCCCCAGTCTGTTGTACTTTAGTCTGGTTCTCATTCTCTGCATCACCCTTTCCTGGGTGAACTTGAGGGCCTTTTGCCTCTGTAGTTATATCGGTTAAGGTTCTATTAAGCCGCTTTATGTCTTGTAAAGAGGAAGACACCTGGGAGCTGATAGCCTAGAAGGTTTTCCAAAATGGAAATTTAGCAGAAACATCTTAATTACCCACTTTCTCCCTCCATCCCAAAATGCTATTTGTACTCATCTTTTGTGAAAGAAGCTGAAACCACAGATGACAATTGTTGCACCTGAGTGAAAGGAAATTTGACTGACTCTACTTAGTTCAGAGGACACATGCTTTTAGATTGTTCCAAAGTTGGAATAATCTTTGCTTGTTTGTACCTCAGGGTGACCCATAGTCTTATCTGCATTTTCTCTGTTATAGCCAGCCTTGTGGGATGTGTAGTGCCAGGCTTTGTTCTTATAAATCCTAGTCTGACCATTTCAGAATTCAGCCAAGGCTTCAGCCCAAACTCCCCAGACACTTCTCATAGGACTAAAGTGTCTTTATCTTCTTAGCCCTAAGGCCTAGTCCTTTCATGTAAGGTGGGTGGCACTCAGGGAACAGGCAGAGTCTTGTATTTATTTCATTTATTTCAGGAAGTGCTCTTTACCAGGACTCATGTTTAGCACCAGCAACAGTAAAATTCTGGCCCCTTCTCTGAGCTCTTCCATGTTTCAGGTTTTGTCTTGGTATCTACTTTGAATGCTCAGTTATATTTGAGCATGCTAGAGAGCGCACTGCCTCCCCCTCCCCCTTAAGAAAAGCCTGCCAAAGAAGTCCTGGACTTCATGAGCAATGTCAGTTTTCGAGGTTACTAAGAGGCCAGTGCCCTTCGACTAGTTAGCATTTGTTTTGCTTTCCGGTCATTTGTTGCCCAGAAGTGCAAATGTATGTTTAGTAAATCTGATGTAAGAGCTCTGTCCCCAAAGTCCCCACATTTCCAGGACTCCTTGTCAGAACTTGCTCTTTATCAAGAAGTTAATAGTCATCAGTTCAGTGAACTGTGGGATTGCATTCACCCAGTGATTAAAATGAAAGTGGTGAAGCTTGTGTATAAGATTTCTGTGGAGTGGCAGCACCAAAGTTTAGAAACGTCAGGCCATCCTATATAATAAAAACATAATATGCAAATTGACCAAACGGCCATCCAGACAACCATCCAGGACCACGCTATGACACCTACTGGCTCCAGGCCATTGTCCCATGATCACCTTGCAGAGGGAGGAGGCCCAGGCCACTGGCCAGTGGGGTGATCAATGGCGGGGGGTGGGGAAGGTGGGGAGGGCTTACTTTACTTTTTATTTTTTTAACTCCTCACCCGAGGATATTTTTCCATTGATTTTTTTAAAAGAGAAAGTGGAAGAAAAAGGGAGACAGAGCATCAATGTGAGAGAAACATATCAATTGGTTGCCTCCTGCACATGCCTTGACTAGGGCTGGGCCAGGGAGGAACCTGTAACTAAGGGATGTGCCCTTGACTGGAATCGAATCCAGGACCCTTTGGTCGGCAGGCCAATGCTATAGCCAGGGCTATTTTCTTTATAACCTTTAAAAAGGACCATTTCTTACACTTCTTTCCCCCCACCCCCCCAGGCACCTGTTTCTGGGTGGAGTAGAGAGAAAATGCTCAGTAAATAGAAAAATGGTTTGTTCTTTCCTTGGCTTGATTTGGCCTCAGTGTTGGTAGCTCTGGGCATCTTTGCTGCTGTTCATCTGGCAAGTCCCCAGAGGGGGCTGCCCCTTTGCACTGGAAGAGCAGAGGCCTCCAGGGTGGAGGATGAGCTTGGGATGGTGTAGGGCAGTGGTCGGCAAACCACAGCTCTTGAGCCACATGCTCTCTTTGGTCCCTTGAGTGTGGCTCTTCCACAAAGTACCACGTGCGGGAGCGCACGTACAGTGCGATTGAAACTTCGTGGCCCATGTGCAGAAGTAGGTTTTCGGCCTGGGCGAGTCTATTTTGAAGAAGTGGCGTTAGAACACTCAAGGGGCCAAAGAGCCGCATGTGGCTCTTGAGCCGCGGTTTGCCAACCACTGGTGTAGGACCATGTTTCCCTGGCTGACAACGGAGGCCCAGACCTGGCAGTAAATACTGACTAGCCTTTAGCCCAGCAGGTTTGGAGAAGACTGGGGACAAGCCGCTTGCTTGGTGGCTCAGCGTAGCTGATGTAGGCTGTCGGGTACCTTTTGAGCTTCTCTGGTTTAAAGTGGAGCTGCTCCAAACTGCCTGGCTCAGCGGTCTAGTGCCCTGCCCACTGCCCTCTGCAGAGGCCACCACGCCGTTAACAGGAAGGACGGCCTGGCTACTAATGTGCTTCCTGCCAAAGCAGAGCTGTTGCATTTTTTTTCTTTTAAGATTTATCTATGATTATTTTATGTTTTAGGTAACTTAATTTTGATCTAATTTTAAGCATACAGTAAGGTTGTCAGAACAGCACAAAGAATTCTCGTGTTCCTTTTAACCAGTTCCCATAGCATTTTGCCTCACTTGCTTCCCTTGCATGTCTCCCTATCTCCCTGTATGTATATATATGTACACACACACACACACACACACACACGCGTTTTTCTGAACCATTGGACAATAAGTTGCAGGTGGCCTATCCCTTTACTTTTTTTTTTTTTGAGGGAAGCACGTTTCATTTTATTGGCATTGTCAGTCCATCCATAAGACAGGTGTTATTTTCCCCATGAAGTGAGATTCTTTTCAAGCTGCATAACCTGTGCCCACACATCTTCATCTTGAAAATGTAGCACTTGAAGCTTTAGGCAGGGTACATTATTCCTTCTTCACTTTCACAATTTTGACACTGCTGCCAGAAGACTTCTCGGCGCCTGCTTTGAATTCAGTTTTCAGTGCATCCCTCACTGCTTTTGCACAGATCTGGGAGTAGCGGATGTAGCTGAGTCCAGCCTGTCGCCAGTAGGCCACCGTGATGCCGCGAGGCGGGGGGGAGAGTCTGACTGAACCCTTTACTTTTGAATACCTCAGTATGTTCTTCCTAAAACAAGGACAGTCTCTTACATAATCACAGTACAAAATAAAATAAAAAAACCACAAGTCCACATCAACATAGCTGTTACCTAATCTACCGTCCATAATAAAATTCTGTCCATATTCACATATAGTCCCAGTGACGGCAGAGCTTTGTTTAGAAGGAAAACATCCCTGAGAAGTGTGGGTGACTCTTCGGTGAGGTGGCTCTGAGGAGAGCAGAGCCAGCAGGTTATTTGGGGAAATGACTGCCCTGGGCTCCACATCACCTGCGCTTGCTCTTTGTGTCTCCACAGGGCCGGAGGAGGAAGGGCAGCAAGAACCACACTCGCAACAATGTTAATGGTACCGGAGATCTCGAAGGGGGGAGAAGAGCCAGAGAAACAGAGCTCCAAGGCCCCGGATCGGGAACCTCCCAGCAGGTGAGGATGGGGCCACCGGCTGAGCCAAGGCCTGCATGCCTAGCACACGTGGCTGTGTGCGCTGCAGGCACCAGGTATAGTCAGGAGCCCTGCTGCTGTGACCCTTGAAATGCCTGGCCGAGACAGCGGATAGCACCCTGGGCTGCTCAGCACTCTCCCTGTGTGTCCTGGAGGAGACGGGACAGGCACTTCTAGGGGTGATGCATCACCTCTAGAAAAAGGACCAGCATGGTCCTTTTTCTTCTAAAACCCTTAGTATTATGTTATCTGGAGAGAGAAGAGTAATTAGAGGCAAAGCTGGCATCTTTTCCAGTATCTCCCACAGACCCTTAGAATGTGGGAACAACTCCCAGGGTTTTTCTTATAGGGTAGGACCAGTTCCTCTGAGCCTCAAGTTACTAGGGCCTGTTCTCCATTATTATCCTCTCATCATTAACAAAGTTCTCTCCCTCTTTTTTTTTTTTGTAATCCTCACCCGAGGATATTTTTCCATTGATTTTTTTTTAGAGAGTGGAAGGAAGAGGGTGGGGAGGAAGAGAGAAGAACATAAAGTGAGAGAGAGACACATTGATTGGTTGCCTCCCACATGCACCCTGACTGGAGTTGGGTATCAAACCTGCAACCCAGCTACATGGTCTTGACCAGGTCTTGTAAACCTTGACCAGGAATCGAACCTGAGATCCTTCAGTATGCAGGCTGACACTCTAATCACTGAGCACACTAGCCAGGATGCAAAGTTCTTTTTGCGTGTTTTATTTTATTTATTTATTTATTTATTTATTTATTTATTTTATGACATATTAAGTTTTGGTGGGGTAAATTAAGTATGAAATATTTAAGTTGTATTAAGATACATTAATTTAATAATTCAAATTAAGTTACTTATAATTATGCCTTCATTTAATAATAAATTATTCTTCAAAGTAATGTTGACATTAAAGGTAATGGTTGGTTTGGGACCTCAGGTGTAGACACTTGCACCAATCCTATTGCTCTGTTTATACCACTCCCAGCCGTATGTAGTTTCTTTTTTTATTCCTGATTTCAAAAGCTCTTTGCCCTTCTACTTCTCTTTACCAATTGGCACATATATCCTTGAAACTGTATATTTCATTGAGAAATGTAGTGTTGATTGTGCATGTTTTAACTCACACCTTAGAATTATGTGGTATTGGCTTTTACTCAATGCTGTGCTTTCAAGACCAATCCTATTGCTCTCTGTGCAGTGTTTCAGGAAGGGAGTGCCTTTGGTCGTAAGTAATCCAAAGCTGACCTCACGGTGTGGTTGCTGCCCTGATGTGGCTGCTCCACATGAATCCAAAACTCCTTTCGGTGTTTCTTCTGAGCTGCTGAGCTGGAAAGCCAAACCACTTCCCAGATTCCCTTGAGCGAGGAATCCATGATTTAGGTTCTGCTCTTGTGCAAGGCATAAATTTAGAACAGCGCTAAATAGCTTGGGACATCCCTTTTGCTGTCACACATCACCATAGATGCTCTGGGGCTCTGGTGAGCTGCTTCCTGATTCGTCAGCTTCCTGTAGTGGTGAGTGCTGTTTCCTTGATTGCACGCACAGGTCATGTGCCTCTCAAAGCTGGATGTTGCTCCTGGACCTAGAGCCTGCTTCTCCATCCTTTTCTGTTTAAACGAGCCAGTTATTTTCTTTTTTAAAATAGATTTTATTGATTTTTTTACAGAGAGGAAGGGAGAAGGATAGTTAGAAACATTGATGAGAGAGAAATATCAATCAGCTGCCTCTTGCACACCTCCTACTGGGGATGTGCCCGCAACCAAGATACATGCCCTTGATCAGAATCGAACCTGGGACCTTTCAGTCCGAAGGCTGACACTCTATCCACTGAACCAAACTGGTTAGGGCTTTTGTGTGTTTTAAAAAATGTTTTATTACTACCAGCAGGAGTGGCCTGCATGGGGTGGCAGGTACGCTGGGCTCAAGGTGTGTGTGGTCTGTGAGAAAATGATTGGGAAGCTTGAAGGTACAGGGCTGGGGGCTGGAGGCCAGCTCCAAGGGTTCTTCAAACAAACTTCTGGGAATGCTTAAATGTATCCTGGCAAGCTAACAGCAAGCTGCTGACAAGATTAAGAAATTCTTGGAAATCTAGCTGCTCATCAGAGTTGAGGTCCAATTTTTTTTTTTAAATTTCTTTATTGATTGTGGTATCGCATAATTGTCCTCATTCCCCCGTTCCTATCCCAAACCCCTCCCCACGTATCTCCCCCCCCCCCCCCCCCCCGTTGTCCATGACCACTGGTTAGGCTTATATACATGTACACAAGTCCTTTGGTTGATCTCTTCCCCTTACCCCAACAGCCAAAACAATAGCCATCCAGTGACAGCCAAAACAATAGCCACCCTCTCTAAGGTCCAATTTCTTCATCAAACAGTCAAGGACACCAGAGTCCTTCTGGTTCTTTGTGAAGGCAGCCAGTTCCGTATTTGTGAAAGTTAGGAACTCCATCTTGGGGAGTGTGAAGCTGTTACTGTCCTTTCCAGCATACCTCTGGAAAACAGCAGAGTCTCGATGCACTGCTCGGTCTCTGTAGGGCTGGACATTTTTGCCACGTCGGAGTGGAGCGAGGTGCAGAGGCTGTGAGAGGGCAGCAGTGTGGCAAGCTCTCAAAGTTCTTTTTATATCTTGAAATAATTGCTAATATTAAATTATTGTCAGAATGTGGGTGACACTTGCTATTCTGCTAAAGCCAGCAGAGGCTGGGCCATGAGAGGCCAACTTTTTTTCACTCGAGTAGACAGATTGTATGTACACATAAGCCCTGGCCAGTGCCACCATCTTTAGGGTCATGCATTCTCTGCCTTGTCTGGAACTGGCATCAGGCGGCACAATTTCATCCTGTGTAATTTTGTTAGGCAGCACACACAGGTCCTGCCTGGCTCCAACTTTCCCAGCATTTGTCTCCTTCTCAGCGACATGTAATCCTAAAGAGGCTGTGGGTCCAAGATGAGAGGAAGCAGCAAGGTTGCACTAGAAGATTCACAGTCAGCTCTTAACAATTGTGTGTATTCTGGGAGAGACATTCCCCAGGGCTGGCTATTCCTTGGAGAAGTCTGCAAATGCTGGGAACACAGGTGTGTTTCTTTGGGTATTAGGTAGCCACAGAAGCAAAGCATCATTCATTTGGGTAGTTCAGAGACAGGGACACTGCTGAGAGGCTGGCTACAGTCGTCCCTCATGTTACCTAAGTCCTTGGTAGCAGACTTATGTTTGTCCTGTGCTTTCTGGGAAGACCCTGCATCTATGCTGGAGTTGAGTTTCTGAGCAGCCCCTGCCTACCAGCTTAGTGACATGCTAGAGCTGGGAAGGGCCAGTTCACACACACATACATGTACATGTATACACACATACACACCTGGTCTCTCGAACAGTGATTTTCAACTGGTGTGCTGCAAGAATTTAAAATTTTTTAAAAACGTGTAATATCTATTTTTAAATTTTTAAAACATGTAATATTTAGTCAGGGGCACTGTCCTCTTTTCCCTTAGATTGTCAAATAAAAAAATGACAACAGTCAAAACAATAGCCATCCAGTGACTGCTTTGTCTTGAACCATAAATATATAGGATACACACACACACACACACACACACACACACACACACACACATATATATATATATATATATATAGAGAGAGAGAGAGAGAGAGAGAGAGAGAGAGATATTAATTTGTCATGTGACAAATTAAGGATTGGTTAACAGAAATCCTTATAGACAAGTACTAGAGGCCCAGTATGAAATTTTTGCACCCAGTTGGGTGAGGTGGGGGCTGTCAGTCAGACATCCTTAGTGCTGCGGGAGAGGCTCCCGCCACTGCTGCTGCGCTCAACTGGCTTCTGGCTGAGCAGCGGTCCCCTGGGAAAGCACTGACCACCAGGGGGCACTTCCTGTATTGAGCATCTGCCCCCTGGTGGTCAGTGTGAGTCATGGTGACATGTCATTATGCTGTTTGGTTGATTTGCATATTAGCCTTTTATTATATAGGAAGGCTGGGCACCTGATTTTTTAAAGTCACTTTGAAGCAAAAAGAGTAGGTAAGTACTATTATTATTTTTATAAATCAATCAAAATTATACATTTTTTTTGTCAGATCGACAAATATATTTTTTGTTGTGCTATAGAATTTTAGTAATTGTGTGTGTCATGAAATGCAAAAGTTTGAAAATTGCTGTTCTACAGGATGGCTGACCTCTCTGAGCTCCTGAAGGAAGGGACCAAAGAAGCACATGACCGGGCAGAAAACACCCAGTTTGTCAAGGACTTCTTGAAAGGCAACATCAAGAAAGAGCTGTTTAAGGTTTGTGCCTCGTCATGGATGGGTTTGGGTTAGGGGGCCATCGTCCCGTGAGAAAGGTTTCCCTGGAGTTGCTCCAAGGGGGAAGCAGGGCCTTTGTTACACTCCACTAGTACTTCTCTGGCGCCAATCTATAGTTTTCATGGCTTAAGTGGAATAACATAGTGATGCAAAGAAAGCAAAAGTATCCATGTCCAAAGAATTCACCATGACTTTCCTATAGAAACATGAGTTTTCTAAGAGTGTGAAATAATTTGTTGTATAAAAATGGGCCTTTGGGGACAGGAAGGGGGGTTGCTGCTCAAGTCTTTGCTTTCAGCTGCTCAGACATGGTGGACGGTGGGCTCCAGAGCTGCCACCCACGGCCCACAGTCCTTTCCATTTGGTCTCTCCCCATCACCCTCAACAGCTGGCCACTACTGCACTTTACTTCACATACTCAGCCCTCGAGGAGGAAATGGACCGCAACCAGGACCATCCAGCCTTCGCTCCCTTGTACTTCCCCATGGAGCTGCACCGGAAGGAGGCGCTGATTAAGGACATGGAGTATTTCTTTGGTGAGGACTGGGAGAAGCAGGTGCGGTGCTCTGAGGCCACCCGAAAGTATGTGGAGCGGATCCACTATGTGGGGCAGAATGAGCCGGAGCTGCTGGTGGCCCATGCCTATACTCGCTACATGGGGGACCTCTCGGGGGGCCAGGTGCTTAAGAAGGTAGCCCAGAGGGCTCTGAAACTCCCCAGCACGGGAGAGGGGACCCAGTTTTACCAGTTTGAGAATGTGGACAACGCGCAACAGTTCAAACAGTTCTACCGGGCCAGAATGAATGCCCTGGATCTGAACCTGAAAACCAAAGAGAAGATTGTGGAGGAGGCCAACAGGGCCTTTGAGTACAACATGCAGGTATTGCTTGGGGCCGGGCGGAAAGGGGCCTCTGATGGTGTGAGCTGATCTGAACTGTCCAAACCGACGGACACTGGTGCATTAGGACAAAAGCTCTGCACCTAGCTTGAGAGAAAATCGAGGGACCAAATAGGTCACAGAGGGCATGAGTCCAGTGATAGCTCTGCTTTATTTGATAGACAGCCTCTGTGTTTTGTTTTTGGAAGCAGTGAAGCCTCACCATGAAGTGAACTTGGGGAGAAGGGAATTGTCTCCTTTCCTCTCACCACAGGATTCTGGTTTTGAGGAATGGAATTCTTCCTTTTTAGCATGGATTGCTATGAAAAGTCTTGCTTGGTAAGTTCAGGGAGAGAACAAAGGAGAGCGAGGATCATAACTCAGTTTACAAGTAGCCTTTAGATGGGGCTGAGGCTGACGAGGCTGATTCTGTCCCCAGAATCTAGGCACCAGTCAAGTGGCCCTGGAGGGAAGTGAAGCATCAGCCTAACCACAGGCCTGCCAGCCCTCTAACCTGATATCAGGGGCCTCCTGGGTCTACTCAAGATGGGTCAGCCCTGCTAGGGCCTTATTCTTCCATATTCCTTTTTCTATTGCTTCTTGCTGAAAATACCCAGCAGCTGGAAGTGGGGAAGTACCATGGCTCAAAGAGTGTTTTTACTCTTATCTGTACCTTGGATACTTTCAGTCGTGGGTTGTGGTGCCAAGGGGAGGTCCACTATGATCAGCAGCCATAGGCTGCTGGACAGCACAAGTACGACCATACTTCCCATAACTCGTGCTAGGGAGAAGTGCCAGGTCAGTGTCCCCGAGTGGAGCTGCTGTTTTACTGGTTTGCACCTCTGAGCAAACCTTATCTGCTGAGCACATCTTACCTGCTCCAGTTCCCTCTGCAGAAGAGGTTTTTCTCTGAAAGCAGAGTTAAGCAATACAGTGATGGTGTGCTCCTCTGCTCCTGCAGGTATTCAATGAACTGGACCAGGCTGGCTCCTCGCTGGCCAGAGAGACCGTGGAGGATGGGCTCCCCGTGCACAATGGGAAAGGAGATGTGCGTAAATGCCCCTATTACACTGACAACCAAGACAAAGGTAGGTCTTGTATCCCCAGCTCCCCTCCCAGGGCAGGTGTGTCAGTGTTCCCACTGATGCCATGTCCCCTGTTGGTGCTGCCACACAGGTGCCCTGGAGCATAGAAGTTGTCCCTTCGGAATAGCTCTGATGACCAAGCCCAGCATCCCGTTCATTCTGGCTGCTAGTGTGGCTTTGGCTGCTGGCCTCTTGGCCTGGTACTACATGTGAAACACCCATCACCACATTGGCGCCCTCCTCCTGAGTGACTGCTGACTCGCTCCCACCTCTACCTGTGACAAAACCACCACCCCAGGTGACTTTTTAAAAATGCTGGGTTTGAGAAAAGCAACCAATAAAAGCCAGACACTAAAGCCTCTGCCTGTTAGTGTCCTCTGCGGGCCAGATGCTGAGCTGAGGCCCCCCTTCTTACAGCCGTCCAGGCTGTAGCGCTGGGAACAGCCAGTGTAGCTCAGTGACCGGCCTGGGCCTCTGGAATCTGCTCTGCTCCTGGGCACCCACACCTCTCACCCTGAGATTTTTCTCCTTTCGTTCTTCCTGCTGTCATCATGTAGGTGGGTATCTTTTCCCTGCTGGGAGCAGAGCAGCCAGCCAGGCCAAGGCTAGGAGCGGTAGGCCTGTGGGAGGGAAGGGACTCCACAAATGCTCCTGCTCTACTTGGGGGCTCACCTGGGCGTGTGGTGAGGAGATAGAAGCCAGGCTTGCCTGGGCTTATCTGTCTCTAGCAGAAACCCCCAAGTGGGGTGTGTCCAGCCAAGGCCTATCTCCTCCTGACCTGTCATGCTACAGCACTCAATAAAGTGGACTCTTGACAGCTGCTTCCTCCTTCCTGGCACAGATGTCATCCTCGCTGGTCCCTGACAGCTCCTCCTGCTGTGCTCCAAGACTGCCATTTACCTTATAAATAAGCATAAAAAACCATGTACTTGTATTGAATAATAATCGATTGTCTAAAATAGAAATGTGAACTTAAATATTTTTATTAATAGGCATCTATTTTATATAATTGAGGATCTGAACATTTTAGTCACAAAAGGGTTAAATGATGGGGGAACTTTTTTTTTTTTTTTTTTTTTTTTTTAACTACTGTCCAACCTATCTACCCCCACAATTCAGATGAAGGTAGGGACAGAGCTGTCCAGAACTTGGGAGCCCAGACTATCACCCCCGCCCTCAGAAACCTTAGCCCCAGTGTCTCTGTCTTGCCTAAGGGAGTGAAGCTACCTGCTTCCAGAGTAGGATGACCCTGAGCTTCATTTGGAGGGCTCCAGCCTCTAGATCCCATGGTGAATGCTGTGATGTGGAGATGGGTAAAACCAGTATCAGAGATAGTAAGATTGTCAACACCTGCCCTGGGCCAGTCACAGCTGGAATGCCAGGGCTCCTCCACACTAACTCTGGTTTGTTTTAAATTTAATTAGGTACTTAAATGTTAGTGTCATCCCTGGCAGTCGATATATCATAAGCACTGAGAGACCCCGAAGACTTGACACACACACCCCCTCCCCCTGTGCTTAAGATTACCTGTAGCCCCACCCTCTTCCTCTTGCAAAAGAAGGAAGCCAGGCAAGAGAGCAGAGGCCCAGGTCAGAGGAGTGAACGGACCAATTTAATGAGAAACTACAAACAGACTGGTCACAATTCACAGTGAGAGAAGGCCATGCAGAGGCAGTGTGAGACCAGGAGAGGGGTGGCAGCAGGGTACAGCGGTCCACAGGTGCAAGTTTACTGACAAACCATTCAGAAAAGAGAGACAACATGGCCTCAGGCCCAGGGCAGGGCTAGTCCACCAGGCTACTTCCGCCACTTGTAGTTGTTCCTTCCTGGTCCCTAATCCAGTGCTACAGTTGTTCTTGCTATAGTGCCTGGAGCAAGCACAGTGACAGTGAGTCAACCTGGGTGAAACGCCCAGTTCATTAGAAAGGATCTACAGAGAGAGAGCACTTTAAATTTTGGCCATCTCTGGTCTCAGCTGAAATACATTAGCCTCCAGGCAAAGATCATGCCCACACACACACAGCAAGGACATGTTTTGGACAGAGGGGCTGGGTTCCTGGGATTCTTCTGGCCCCAGTAAAGACACGTTCACAGAGGCATTGTGGAAGGGGAGCTAGGCAGAGGCCAGAGGCAAGTCTTTTGGTGAGCCAGGGCCAGGTCACTTATCCCATGAATTGCAGTTGTGCCGACTCTCTCTTAATTCCATGTGGCTCCTGGACAAGGTGTCGAGTTCCTGAGAGTGGGAGTCATTCCTGCCGACAATCATGCTACCTCTAGGACCCCAGAAACCCTGGCCTATGACTCCGTCCTGTTTGGATTCACATTCCCACTCTTGGCCTAGTAGATTAGAAACTGGCTACAGGCACAGACCCAAAGACCCACTGTAGGCCCAGGTATGAAAAACTAGCTATTGCTCTGCTGCTTTTGGTCCCAGAAGAATAAGGACCAAACTTACACCTCATGTAAAAATGGAGGAGTGAGACCCCAGCAGAGACCCTTCCCAGTGTATCTTCCTAATCAAACACCAAGCAAACCAGCAACATACATGCTCAGTGCCAGCTCCCTGCCACTTGCTGACCCTTGGCCTTTAATCCAACAATTTTTGCCGGAAGTCAGATGCTCAGGGAAGGGCAAGGCAAAGACGACGAGAGTTCCAGGGGATTGGTGGAACACCTTCCACCCCCAAGCGGGAGTGGGGACACGAGCCACTGAGTGTAGGGAGCAAAGCACAGGAGTCCAGACTGACAGCAGGGAGTCCAGTCCAGACCCCGTTAGCACAGGCGCTTGTACGTGTAGATGTAGGCTTTGCAACTGGGGCACGTGTGCGTCACATCCTTGAAGTCGTTGATGAGGCAGGGGATCAAGCAGCAGCCCAGATCGCACCTGCATCAGAGAAGGGAAGGCCTGAAGAGAATGTGCCGAGGGCACTGGGCCTACTCCAGCTGGGTAATGGGCAAGTGGAGCTCCCCACCCCGCAAGCACTCATACCACTTACCCCATGAAGCAGCAAAAGAAGCCCAGCACGAAGTTCATCAGGCCAATCTCGTAGGAGATCTTGGTGGTGATGGCCTGCTGGCAGTGGGGACACACTGTCTGCACAGGTGCACCCTCGAAGATCTCTCCCTGCAGCACTGTCACCGTAGTGGCAGCCCCTGAAGGGACCAGGACTGTGGCTGTGTGTCCGCCAGGACCAGGATAGGGCCCTGGCGGGTAGGGCCCTGGTGGGTAGGGCCCTGGTGGGTAATAGCCCATCGATGCATGGGGGCCTGGAGGAGGGTAGAATCCTGGAATGGCAGAGAAGACAGAGCAGACGAGTCACTGGCTTGTCACCCCACTGTGTCACATGAGAGGTAAGTACAAAGCTGCCAGCACTCAGGGCACAGTTGAGGAAGCAGTCCTAGACTTTCCTTGTCCCTGTCCCATGGGGACCAAAGCAGAGAAGATACCTGACCCAGCCAGATAAGACAGCTGAGAACAAGGCCCAATCTACCCCTTGGTCTCAGCTCGATGCGTTTGCTCCCTGCCTCTGACACAGGGGACTGGGCACTGTGCTCAAGGACCTCAACCACAGGAACGAAAGCCTCGCTGCTCTTCAGCCCTTCTGTGCAATCAGGGCTCTCTTCCCCACCAGTGTTAGGTCCTGCTCTGCAGTGCCACCTGGTCCACTTGGGGACACCTGTGCAGGAACTCTGGTCCTCCTCTGGCTTAAGTAGTCCCTCCGAAGAGCTGCCTGGTGAGCAGGACACCAGGCCTCCACCATGGACTCAAGTTCTGGCAGGGAGTGGCCCCTGTAGCACCCATGAGTCCATAGCCACTGCCTGAGGAGCCTTCCCTCGAGTCAACCCTCCTGGCAGGCGCTGGGCTCCTCTGGCTCGTCCACGGTGCTTTCACAGCAGGGCGTTGCTCTGCGACATCTTCCCATATCTGCCCTCCATGCCCACAATCATTCCCCCTGCTCCAACCAGTAGTAAACACCCTCACAGGACACCAGCCTGCCTGTAGCAAAGGCTGGACAGACACCTGCGCTCTGCTGGGATCTTCCCAACTTACCTGGAGGCATGTAGGCTCCATCTGCATTCACGTGTGGAGGGATGAAGCCAGGCTGGGGCATTGAGTGACCAGGTGGCTCATAAGGTGGAGGGCCAATGTCTGCAGGAGGCAGTGACATGCCTGCGGGGGGCTGCACAACAGCAGGGGAGGTTTGGCCTGGACAGAAGGAAGGAAAAGAAATGCAGAGGGCCCTAGCCCCACTGTCAGTGGGAAGGGCTGCTCCAGACACGGCTTCAGCAGCTGGAATGGGCAAGGGAAAGGGCAGTGAACCCTACCTGGGGTTGGCAGGGCTCCACTTTTCTCCTCCAGGAGGGGGGCCGTGGGGCCTCCCGGATAAGGAGGAGGCGGGTCATTAGACATCTTCGAGGCTTCTCCTGAACCTGGAGGGAAAACCCAGACGTGAACTATGCTCCCAGCTCCCCTATTGCCAGTCACGTACTGAGGTGTCAAGGGGCTGCTTTGTGTCGGTCCTCCAAGAGCCACCCTCGTTGCTGCGCCCAAGGACATGGGGCCTCCTATGGTTCCTACTGCAGATGTCCCCTGCTTTTGGGGCTCAGGCCACCTTTTAATCCCATGCAAATCTCCACACTGGGCAGAGCAGCGCTGACAGGTGGGGCTGATTTTCTTGAGGAGAGTGGCCACCAGGTTCCCTGCAGATGCCCCACATTGCCAGGGGTGACCAGCCCAGAGCCTCCATCCTCCACATTTCAAGAAGGTACTAACCTCAGTGGTCACCTGCACTTACTGTGTGAAAGCCCGAGGGTGAGGGAAACCGGGCGAGGAGGATAGAAGAACCCAATCAGTAAGGACAGAAGCTGGTGAGGTGAACCCCCAACCCCCATGGCGAACCTAATCTAGGGCTCCCCAATGCAGCTTGAGCACTGGTCCTCTCCTCCCCTAACATTCAAGGAGTGCTGTGCCAACCTCGTGCCAGGACACTGTGTCCTTGTGGGAGGGGACCTGGGAGACTTCTTACCTCAAATCCTAGGTGCTCAGAGCTGGTAGACAGGTGAGGCTCCTTCCAGTGCTGGCCTGGGTTCACACGCAGGACTGTGGGGAGCTGTTTCATGGGGAGAACAAGCAGCTCCCTTAGCACCAGGGCTGGGCCGGACCTGGACAACTGGCCTCCTGGAAGCCACACTCCCTCCCTCATTCATCTGGTCTCCCCCACCCCCTGCTGCCCAGCACAGTACCTTCCCTCATACCTACCCACTCCTGAGATCCCCCTTCCCCTCTCTCAGCTGTTCTCTCCCAGGGGCCATGGCTGGTCCTCTGCATCTCTCCCCACCAGGCCCAGACCAGAGCCCCAGCATCAGCTCTCAGAGCCAGCTGAGCCCTTCTTTGTAGGCGGAGTAGGGTGGGAAGGAAGTGGTGTCAGTTAAGTGGAACAGTTTTCCTCATTTCCTTCATAAGGTTCATTGAGCAGCTGTATAGATTCTGAACAAAAGATCCAGTGATGGCAACTCCCCTAGTGTATGTGGCTGCCTCCTACAGCCACCGGGCTCAGTTCAGAACCATACAGTGATGGAGGCCTCAAACAGTCCTGCCAGGGGAGAGGGTCCGGGAGTCACTAGGCTTAAATATTAATTCTAATGAGTTAGTGTCAGGGCCAGAGGGACTAAATCCAAGCAACAAAAAACAAAGAAATTTTCTTAAAATTAAAAACTGCTTCAAAGGACACAATTAAAAAAATTGGAAAGAGAACCCACAGAAAGGGAAATTTTTACAAACCATATGTCTGCTTAAGGGACTTGCACTTAGACTATATAAAGAACTCTTCTAACTCATTAATAAGACAACCCAATTAAAAAGTGGGCAAAAGATCTGAGTAGTCATTTCTCCAAAGATAAACAAATGCCCAATAAGCACACAAAAAGAGGCTGAATACTGTTAGCCAAAAGGGAAATGCAAATAAAAGCCAAAATAAGGCACCATTTCATACCAAGTTAAAATGAAAGAGTAAGTATTATGTAGAGAAACTGGAACTCTCACATTGCTCGGGAGGAGGGGGAGTGCTGTAAAAATGGGGCACCTGCTGTAGAAAATGGCAATTGATGGTGAGAGTTACCACGTGACTCAGTAATTCCACTCCTAGGTATATACTCAAGATAATTGAAAAACAGTGTCCACACAAAAATTTCCCCATGGATGTTCATAGTAACATTCACAATAGCTGGAAAGTACACATAACTCATGTTCACCAACTGAAAAATGGATACACTCATACAGTAGACTATTATAATTTGGTCATAAAAAGGAATGAAGCATTGACACACACTACAACATGGATGAACCTTGAAAACATGCCCAGTGGCCCCATTAGTGTGGTTGAATGTTGACCTGTGAACCAGGTCATGGTTCGATTCCCAGTCAGGGCACATACATGCCCAGGCTGTGGGTTCAGTCCCCAGTAGGGGGTATGCAGGAAGCTGCTGATCAATGATTCTCATCATTGATGTTTCTATCTCCTCACTTCCTCTCTGAAGTCAACAAAAATATATTTTTAATAGAAGGACCGCGTATTTTATGATTCCTTATATAAAACATACAGAACAGGCAAATCCAGGGGCTGGAGGAGGGGGTGGAGTGATGAAAGAAAATGTTCTAAAACTGACTAATGATGGTTGTATAATTTTGTGAATATACCAAAACCATTGAATTATATACATACTTTAAGTGGAGAAACTGTACAGTATATGATTATGTCAGTAAAAACATTTAAAAACAAAGAAAATAAAATTGCCCAGTCTTTCTGCATGTTTCTGTTAGTCTGTATGCACATGCACTTATATTTTTATATACTGGCTATCATGACCAACAGTTTTAAATTATTTTAATGTCATATATTTCCTCCATCTTGCAAGACCCCATGACTATCAATTTTACTATTCCCTAAAATGGGCCCTCACTGTTTATTTGACCATCCCCTGAGGCATTTAGAATGCTACTTATTACTTTCATTAAAGAAAACAACAGAGAACACCTTTGGGCAATGTTCTTTTCATTTCTTGGATTATTTCCTTGAGCTAAACTTGCCAGAAATGGTATCAACATGTTATGCCTTTAGTGAAGGATGATGTTAACTGATAGTGCAAACTTTGGATACTGCTATCAATTTGTAATGTTAAGATGACACCGGCAAAAATTCAGAACCACCATCAGCCTGAAATCTGGCTGAATGGAAGTCCTACAACTAGAGAATTAAAGAAGAAAACAGCCCTAGCTGGTTTGGCTCAGTGGATAGAGTGCCAGCCCATGGACTGAAGGGTCCTGGGTTCGATTCTGGTCAAGGGCACGTACGCTCGATCCCTGGCCCTGGTCAGAATGGGTGTTGGAGGCAGCTAATCGATACACATTGATGTTTCTTTTCTCTCTGTTTCCCCCCCCTCCCTTCTACTCTCTCTAAAAATCAATGGGAAAATATCCTCAGGTGAGGATTAGCCAAAAGAAAAAGAAAAAGAAAAAGAAAGCACATGGAGACTGATAGGAGGGGTGGAGCCACAGAACTGGTTGGTCTGACACCCACGAAGCTTTTTTTCATCTTCACCTGAAGATATTTTTTTCCATTGATATTTAGAGAGAGATGAAGGAAGGAAGGAAAGGAAGAGTGAGGAGGGGAGGGGGAAATAGGGGAAACGAGGGGGAGAAGGAGAGGGAGGAAGAGAGAGAGAGAGAGAGAGAGAGAGAGAGAGAGAGAGAGAGAGAGAGAGAGAGAGAGAGACAGACAGACACTGAAATTGAAGAGTCAGTGGATAGAGTGTAGGCCTGCAGAGTCAAGGGTCCCAGGTTCAATTCCAGTCAAAGGCATATACCTTGGTTGTGGGTATATTCCCAATAAGGGGTGTGCAGGAGGCAGCTGATTGATGTTTCTAACTCTCTCCCTTTCTCTCTGTAAAAAAAAATAATAAAATATATTTTTAAAAGAGAGAGAGAGAGAGAGAGAGAGAGAGAGAGGCATTGATTGGTTGCCTCCTGTACATGCCTCGACTGGGAAGGGGATCGAACCTGCAACCGAGGTACATGTCCTTGTCCAGGAATCAAACCCATGACCCTTGGTCCGTGGGCTGATGATCTAACTACTGAATAAAACTGGCCAGGGCCATGTGTGTGGCGTTTTTTAATCTTGGCTACAGAGGTATCCGGTGAGGAGCAAAGGGTCCCTTCAGGCCAGGGCTCCAGACCGGGAAAGAGAAGCCATGTAACTTTGAGCTATAAAAACCAAAAAGTTCCTCTTAAATGGCCAGTGCATGGACTTACTCAGACTACTCACTCTCAGCTCCAGCACTGGGAAAGTGGCTTGCGGGGGATACAGGTACATGCAGGGAGGAACTGGACTGTCTGGCATTGGGGCAAGTCCTGGGGGGTAGCTTTCTTCCAGACAGAGGTGCTGGCAGGGGTCATTGTCCCCATGCTGAGACCTCCTCTGTTGCAGAGCTAACTGGCAGGCACCACATCTGAGTCTCCATCAACCTGGCCTACACTGTTGACTCTGTCCTGGTGATTCCCTGAGACCCTGCCCACCAAATTTGTAGCCCCACCCAAGTTGTTTGGAGAGGCTTTTCCAAACGAGAATGGCCTGTCCTGACTCAGGCTTCAGACTAAAATCTCTTAACCATTTGTACACCATAAGACACAAGTGGCAGACCTTTTTAAATTAAATTCAAAATATCGTGTTATCGATGTCGGGGATGGTTTCTGTTTTGGGTGGCAGTTAACTGGTTAAACAAACAGCAGCTGATGTCAGCGTAGCTCCTACCTGGGGTTTCTCAATATGAGACATGAGGTCTAGTAACAGCCTATCTTGCTGTTTAAGCCCAACACAAGTAGCAGCATCTATAGATTGCTCTGTAGCTCCAGCTGGGTGGCCCCAGGCAGAGGCTGACTTTGCACCTCCCGGGAAGCCAGGGCCAGTGCACCTGGCAAACAGCTTCACACCATACCATATTACAACTCTACAGATCACAAGCGACACACTCAAAGGGCAGACTCAGTGAGCACCAAAGCCCAATTAAAACAAGTCCTGCTCCATAGTGTCAGCTACTGCATAGCAGCTCTCCCACGTAGTCACAGCTGGTCCTTCCTCATAGCCAACTGGCCTGGGGGTCAATTCCTCCCAGTGATGCCAACAACAATCAAGTACAACAAAACTGCACACAGCCCACCGAAGGGCACACCTAGAGTGCCCAGCTCAGGTGACTGGGGTGGGTGAGCCACTGGGCCCTACAGGACACCTATTACACAGGCCACTCTACCAATTCTAGGAGATATAGTGGCTCTACCTAATACATAGAAACAAACACAGGGAAGTAGCCCAATTGCAGAGACAAACAAGTCACAAATGAAAAAAAACAAAGAAACTC